TATGTCTTCTGTAAAGTTAATGCACTTCGCTCAGCTACCCCGTGCACAATGTTAACGCACGGGGCCCTACGTTTTATTTCCCTGCGGATGCTGCTCTCTGGCCGCCATTACCGCCCCGCTCCGCCCTGATGCTGCCCCGCCACGCCACGCCACACCACGCCACACCACGCCACGCCACGCCACGCCACGCCACATCACACCACGCCACACCACGCCATGCCCGTCCCCGAGCAAGCCAATAGCCGGGGCTGATTGGATGCAATGGGTTAGAATGACTGCTGCTGTTGCTGCCGCTTTGACGAGGCATCGGGTTATTTGTGCGTAATTGTTGGCGGCAGCAGCGTGGGGTGCGAGCGAGCGAGGTGTGTGGTGTTTGCGGGGAGAGAGAGAGAGAGAGAGAGGGGGGGGGAGAGAGAGTGTTTGAGAGGGGGGGAGGGGGGGGGGGAGAGGCGGTGCGATGCTGTTATGATTGGGGAGCAGTCAGGTTTTGGGCTCCAGCGGAGCGATCATTCGACCATCACCAATCGCTGGTGGGGCAGTTACACTTACACTGGCGTGGAGGACGAGGAGCTTGGCCACAGCCGAGCCACAGCTCACCAAACACTTTCATAAACGTACAAGTTTCATTTTTGAGGCGCAGAGAGTGATGTGTGGTAGAGGAAGTAAAAGGCCTGTCCATGCCATTTTCTTATGCCTGCCTACTTCGTGTGTAAAGCGCGAAAAGCGTAGGCAGCGGCAGGCAGCAGCACTTCCGCATCGCGGTTGCAACGCTACAAAACACTGTGGCGCGTGTCAATCGATTCGAGTCGAGCCTAATCGATTTATCGACTGGGCTGCGCGCCAGGGAATGCCCCCCTCCCTTCGTCTTTCTTTCTCACACACACTCACTCACACTCGTGCACTCGCTGCCGGGCAGTGTGTCTCCGGGGAACGCAAAGGGGCTACTTTTGTGTTTACACTCGGACAACACATTCTCTCTCTCTCTCTCTCTCTCTCTCTCTCTCTCTCTCTCTCTCTCTCTCTCTCTCTTACACACACACACACACACATTTTCACTCAGGGCTCTCGTGCACGGGCGCGCATTCATAGAGGGAAGTTGTACCTTGTTCCCACACGCTGTATTGTTCAACCCATAATCGTGGAAACTCGTGCGGGCGGGCGGCGGGTGTGCCGTCATTCAAAATCGAACGAGGAAACTTGAATAGGGAAAAGGGAACGAGGCGGAGTTTGTTATCGGACGGGTAGCGACCACTCGTGCAACCAGGATGAAAAGTTGTCCAGAAATGTTTGTTTCCGTTTATTTGAATTGTTTTACTAATCTCTCCGGCGTGTCTGTTCCAGAATCACTACCGACTAGCACGGCTGTGCAGTCGGCGAGCTCTCGCGCGCCGGCCGACAGCCCCGACCGGCCGCCGGACCTGCCCAGCATCGAACAGCAGCAGCAACTTCTACACCAGCAGCAGCAGCAGGCGTCCCCGCTGCAACCGCAGCAGCCCCCTCAGTCGCCGCTCGCGGCCGGGCCCGGCGTCGCCCTGGGCGCCGCCGGCCAGGGCTCCCCGGGTGGTCCCGGGTGGCTGCCCGCCGTCGTGGAGATGCGCGAGCTCGGCGTCGTGCACTCGGCCACCATCCCGCCCGTCCAGTTCTGGAACACCGAGTTTCGCAACAAGCAGCCCGCCTTCATCCGCTTCAACTTCACCCTGCCGTGGGGCGCTAACTTCGCCGTGTACGGGCGGCGCAACGTCGGCCCCAGCGTCACGCAGCACGACTTTGTCGAGTTCATCAAGGCCGGGCGCCTGGACCACCGCGCGCGCCGCTCGCTCGACCACGTGGCCGCCTTCGTGTCCTCGCACTCGTACTACGGCGACCACGAGTACATGGACGACGAGGACGACGACCTGGATGCCGTGGACCTCAACGCCGTCAGCTTCATGGTTCCGCTCGCCAACGACACTAAGGTGAGTGAGGGCGCCGTGAAGGGTGCGCCGCCCGCGCGCCGCGGTGCCCGTTGGGTTGCCTGCCTCCCGGCGGCCGAGTGGCGTCGCTGACGGTCTCCTTTGCCTGTGTTGCAGCCCCCGCCGCCGCCGCCGCCCCCACCCATGCGGCGCAGACGCTCCCCCGGCGTCCTGGCCGGGCTGCCGCTCGACCCCGCCGCCGGACCCGGCGTCGTGGCCGGCGGCGTCCTGGGCCGCGCCATGCGCGTCAACGTGAGCCTGCTGCAGTACCTGGACACGGGCCGCTGGTTCCTCTCGGTGTACAACGACGACTCGCGGCCCCAGGAGGTCAGCCTCGTGGTCAGCGAGGCCGAGGGCGTGTCCACGTCCTGCCCCAACGACTGCAGTGGCCATGGCTCGTGCTACCTGGGCAAGTGCGACTGCATCGACGGCTTCGAGGGCATCGACTGTTCCAAGAGTGAGTACTTTAAATACTGCAATTTTTATCACAATATTTAACACTTCTCTGAGAGAAGGCGAAAGACGTGCAGGCCTGCAGGCCGACCTGCGGATCGTCTTGCGGCGGGGTTCAGCCTGACATGACGGCTTGTCCAGGGCGCCGTGCCCTTTCCCGCGCCCCGCCCCGCCACGCACTGTGGAGGGGGACTGCTGACCTTTCCGGACTGGCCTTTGTGCTGTCGCGGGGCGCGGGGCGCGGGAGTGCGGTGTGGCAAGGCCTGAGGGAGGCACTCGGTGGTCACGCCGGCGGGGATGAGGGGGAGCCCGCCGGCCCGACCCGTCTCCTGTGACCCGCCGGTCGGTGTGGACACGCGCGGCGGGCTGGAGGCCTACATGATGTAGGGGAGGGGGCCCCGGAAGGTAGGGTTGCCGCCGTACAGCAAATCCAATCACAGCCAGTCCGGGCGTGCGTGCGCACGGACAGAGAGTGGCCAGTCGGTGCGTCGGTTTTTTGCCGGATTCAGACCTGTCCCGTCTTCCTCTCCGCTGCGCCCCGCCCCTGCACAGCCACTGTCCCTCTGTAGCTAATTCTCTGCGCCGTGTTCGGAGCCCGAGTGGCCTGCCTTCCTGTATGGCGGCGTGCGATCCACTAAACTTACTCTGCTGCTGCCAACGCGACAGCGGGGGGCCAGGAGCGGGGGGCGGGCTGGAGCGCGGCGGGGCGTGGCGGGCCGAGTCGACCGCAACCCTGTATTCGCGCCACCCCTTATTCAGCCCTTGCAAACTTGTGCGGTGTGTCTGCACGGCGGGGCGGGGGC